TAGTATGGGCCCCTACTACCTTCCACATCTATCCGTACTTTCCTCAAGAGTCACCTCAACTCCACCAACGCACTTCTACTAATACTGATCTCTGCTACTCTCATCCTAGGCTTGCCCTAGGGAACTTCTGACTCCACCCAATCCAGTCCTCAGCCGCTGAAGGCCTCCTTGTAATGCCAATTAGCCACCACCTGAATACCATCACATGCAATGAGGCTCGGATAATCCTTCGAGTAAAAGTCTCGTCCCTACAACGGTTAGACTCAAACGAGAGCTGCGCAGTAGGGCCAAATCCAGCACTCTGAGATTATTCAACCCTGATCACATGTGATGTGACGTATTCACCTAATGTCTAACTCCCATCACTCAGATTCCCACAAAGCACAAAGCAAGCAGCATTTGGATAAAGGAAACATACTCAAGCAAAACTATTCTCATAACAAGAAACTGCACTAGCACACAATGCTAAGCTCACATTATCAGGCATCACCTACACAGGCGATCCTACTACTGTCTACTCAATACTAGCATGCAATTCTCATCAAGCTGGAACACATAAAGCAGGCACATAAGGCATCATCCTAGATCCTTAGTCCTATTCTAGCATGCTGTTTTACTGAAGCTGGAACTGAAACTGAAACTGAAACTGATACTGAAACTGATACTGATAATCATAACATAACTTGTATGGGTAAATTGGGAGTACTTACTTGAGCTCGGCTGATTGCATGCACCACACCCTTTTCACTTTTCAAAACTCTTTTTACTTTTTCTAAAATTGTTTTCTTTTCTCAAAATTCTTTTGTAACTACTATTTTTCTTTTGAAAACTCTATACCACTTCCTTAGTTTGAGTTCAGGCACACTCGAAAGTGCGCCCGAATCCCTCAAACCAACGCTCTGATACCAACTTGTAACGACCCAAAAATCACGCCTAAAAATTTCTTTTAAAACATTACTAAAACTAGATTTATAAACAACGTATCATAAGTCAAACATAACTTTCAAGTATTAAATTCAAAACATAATATCATTATCAGAGTCAAACATTCCCAGGCTAACTGACTATGGTGTGTGATCTGTAATCTTCCCGAGCTCCTCTTTTGAAAACCGAGTACCTGAAACCAAAACTGAAAATCGTAAGCACGAAGCTTAGTGAGCTCCCCCGATCTACCACATACCACACAATAATATATAAAGCACATACTGGGCCTTGCCCACTGCATCGGACCGAAGTCCGGACTAACTGGGGCCTTGCCCCCTAATCGGACCGAAGTCCGAAGCTGACTGGGACCTTGTCCCCTACATCGAATCGAAGTCCGAAGCTGACATCGGACCGAAGTCCGAAGCTGACTGGGACCTTGTCCCCTACATCGAACCGAAGTCCGAAGCTGACATCGGACCGAAGTCCGAAGCTGACTGGGACCTTGTCCCCTACATCGAACCGAAGTCCGAAGCTGACATCGGACTGAATTCCGAAGCTGACATCGGATCGAAGTCCGAAGCTGACTGGGACCTTGTCCCCTACATCGAACCGAATTCCGAAGCTGACATCGGACCAAAGTCTGAAGCTGACTGGGACCTTGTCCCCTACATCGAACCGAAGTCCGAAGCTGACTGAACATGGCATAAACATATCAACTAGCATAAACACATAAATCCTGTATGAGCCACGAAGGCATTAAACATACTAACTACTACATCGGACCGAAATCCGAAGCTGACTAGGACCTTGTCCCCTACATCGGACCGAAATCCGAAGCTGACTGAACATCGCATAAACACATATATCCTGTCTGAGCCACGAAGGCATCAAACATACTAACTACTACATCGGATCGAGATCCGAAGCTGACTGCTAGCTAAAAGGGCCGGCATTGTTGCCTTAGACCCGTTCCTACTGAAAGGAAACTCACCTGAACTGCTGAGCTCTGCTGATAAACCTCTGGCTGCTATTCGACAATCCCCTGAACCGCTGCTCCTCTAGCTCTCCGAGCTATCAATATACATATAACACTTAGTCTGACAGCCAACTAAGTCAACTCTGGTCAAAGTCAACCTTCCAGGTCAACCCTACTCGCCGAGTCCTCCTAATGACTCGCCGAGTTCATAAGCTCAGGGTCTTTCTATTCGCGACTCGACTCGCCGAGTCATTCTATGACCCGCCGAGTCCAACTAGTTCCAAGTCCTGTCCTGACCAACTCGCTGAGTCACCACCCGACTCACTGATTCGAGTCTCAACTCGAAGGGTTTGAGGTTTCGCGACCTGACTCGCCGAGTCCACTAATAGACTCGCCGAGTCCACGACAATCTTCAACCAACTCGTCGAGTTGTTCTTCCAACTCGCCGAGTTGATGCCTAACTTCATCCGACTCGACGAGCTGTTCATCCCACTCGTCGAGTTCCTCCTCATCTTCAAGATACTCTCCGAGTCTATTCAGTCCTTAATCCATGCAGTGGCTTTTCGAGCCAAGCAGGGCTTCCAACTCATAGATCCATACTTCTAAGGCCTATCACCCACGTAAAGTGGCAAACTTTACGTGTAGATCAAGAGATCTAGGCTTAAAACACATTCAAACTAGGGTTTATGGCAACATACTTCTTCAACATACCAAGGGCTGATACTTTAGGGGATTCTAGACCAAAACAACCATGGATCTGAGGTAGCATCCTTAGATCTGGACCTCTAACTCGAAATGGTTCCTTATCATGCCAAAATGTCCAAAACTCACACATGAGAATAGATTTAGGTGCAAAGGGATTCCAAGCAACAGCTTATTACCTCCAATTGGTCTGAAATGTCTTCTCAATCCCGGATCTACAGTCCCTTCTTGCACCTCCAAAGCCTTTCTTCCTTTTCCAAGCTATAGTGCACTCTTCAAGGCAAGATCTAGCTCTAAAACGGATATGGCGGCTAGGGTTTGGTGTTCTGGGGTAGAGAGGCAGTAAAGGAACCCTAGGAAGGAGAATGAGATGTTTAAATAGGTTCCAAGTCCCGGATTTAGGGTTTTCCTCGTTCAGACCCAACTCGTCAAGTCTCCTTGGCCGACTCGCCGAGTCGGTCGCTTACACTTCGACCCGGATCCCACTCGGACTCGCCGAGTCCCTCCATGGACTCGCCGAGTCTCCCCTTAAAATTGAGGTCCTCTTTCTTTTCTTGACTTTCCAATCTTTGAGGTGTTACAATAAATAAGTCCCAAAAAAACGCAAAAATCGACATAAACAATTCAGAACTTGTAGAAAAACCTTACCTCTATGTTTGGGTAATAATATACAAATGGCCATATGTGAAGTTCTTTATTCCAGCTCACATTGTCAGGTTACATATCTAATGGATTTTTCTGAACAAATTTCAAGTTTGCTACCCACAAATACGATTATTTACAGCATAATGGTTGCTCCATATCGGAAAATTACCATCAACCAAAACCTGCAATCAAGCCTTCACTTGTTTAATTAAGAACATTCTTTCTAAATATATTTCTGAAATTTATTTAGAACGTTATAAAAGAAAGCAGACTCCAAAATATCATCTCTAAACAATCTAAACACTTGTAGACTAACTAGGGTATGCTTTAAACTTGATTACCCTTTGGTGCTGCTCCAATTTTCAAATTTTTTTGTCACTTGGGGTTGCTCTGTTTCTTGGTTTTGCTTAACATTTGAGGCTGCTCTGTTTTTCAAACAGAAAGATCTGAAGAAAATTGGAGTTATGTTTTATCTCACACTTGAATTCCTCCTTTTTGTTCCGATAACCTCATCCACTAGATTAACGGCTTCGATTCAAATCTCAATATGTTATAGAAACATATCGATAAATGATAAATCATACCCTTAAAGATATTTTTTTGAGTTTATTACACAAAATTAGGTCATACTTAAATATGGTCATAAAACTGAAACATCCATGACCAATGTTAATGAAACCATAGCAACTTTTAAATGGTCAAGTATGCATCTAATAGCAGCCAAATATTATTGTTATTGTTGTTCTAATAATCATTTAAGTTGAAGTAAGTAGTTGTTTTTTAACGAGAAGAAAGGAAATTTGAGTATTTCACTTAAAAACATACACTTCTATTAAAGTATGTCCCTATTAAAATATTGCATATTTATTTGGGCTAAATGTAAGAAATAGCAATATAGTTTTATTTTTCTGTTTATAACATCCTACTTTCGTTTCTTCCTATTACAACATTTTACTTGCTTTCTTATTTGGACTTTTGTATTTTGGAAATCCAACCCAATTATAGAACCATACATGAAATTCTTTCCATATCAAGAAACCATTCTTCAAATTATCTACCGGGTTATAGCCTTAAAGTTTTGTATTGGGATGAATTTTCTTGCACTTAATCCTAATTATTTTGTATATACCATATTAAACAACAACAATATGTTGGAATGATACCTTAAGCTTCTTTTGTTTCGCTAAAAGCTTGTTTCTTGCTTATGCAGCCACCAACACTACTAGAAAAAAGACCTTTAATGACGCGCTTTTTACGACACGCGATAATTAACGATACACAAAAGGACGTGCCCTTAAAATAGTGTCATCTCTCCAAAAAATTTAAGGATTTACGACACGCTTTATTGCGTGCCCTTAATTTAGTGTCTCAAGAAAAAAAATTAAAAACACGGAGGGCGCTTTATCTTAAACGCGCGTCTTCTGTACCTGTCACTTTATAATTTTAATGAAACGGGATTTTAGTAGACAAGGGGGGAAATGAAATCCCCAAAATTTTGAAAACCCACCTGTTTTTTCTATCTTCTATCTATCATTCATCTTCAACCTAACAAGGACGAGCATTGCACTCTTGATTTCTCTAACTCTTTCTCATTTTCTGATTCAAACTTGAAAGAATCGAAAAAAATCTATCAATTTTGAAGCCTAAAGAATCACAACAACCGACTTCATTACATCTTCATCTTATTCACATTACCACTTCGAATCTCCTACCCTACTTTTCCCTCAACAACAATTCTAGCAGCTTCGCAGACATGGTTCAAAAACCCAGATGGGGCGAATTGGAGGAAGAAGCTGATGGCGGTGACTATGACTATTTGTTGCCGCCGAAACAGGTTATTGGACCCGATGAACACGGGTTGAAAGTACAAATTCAACGACGAAGGTAATCGGGTTAAGATTACCACCACCACACGCATCCGTAAAATTGCTAATGCTCGGCTGAGCAAGCGCGCCATGGAGAGGCGTTCTTGGCCTAAGTTCGGTGATGCCGTTCAAGAGGACGTCGGCGCCAAACTCACCATGGTTTCTACCGAGGAAATCATCTTTGAGCGACCAAGGGCTCCAGGTACGTCATCCCTAGATCTGAAATTTCAGATAATTGTAACAATCCTTTATAATTATTTATGTGAAATTGTTAAGACATATGTAGTTGAAGATTTAGGGCACTAATTCTTGATTGAAGTGACCGATTAAGATGAACGCATTCAGTTCTTTCTTTTTCTTTTATTTGACAAGTTCCACCACATATGAACTTCATATGTGGGTTGCCCTGTTGCAAAGCTTGAAGGATGGGGACCTAAACGTGGGAGGAGAAACAAGAAGTAAGTTTGATTCTCTGTATCACAAGGCAATTGGAAGCATTTAGAGCTGGCTTTAATCAGGTCATCATCTTTTTCCAACATTCTAATATGCTAAATTGTTTATGGACTTAGAAAATATACAAAATAATTTTTTTAAGCTAATATTTTATCTTATTACTATCAGGTTTTTGAGGCTTCAAGTTTACAAATATTTTCTCTAAGTGAGTTGGATTATTTACTCTGTGGGCGTAGAGAAATGTGGGAGGTAATTTGCTCATCTTTTTTCTACTTAAACATAACATGTATTCTTTTTGAAAATGATATGATGTAGAGAATTCATGTTTCTTTTAAATGCAGGCTGATACACTTGTGGAACACATAAAATTCGACCATGGATACACATCCAAGAGCCCTGTAGTAATTAATGTGAGTAATTTATTTATTTTTAGCGATATTCAGGTAAGATTTATAAATTTATAGTATAGTTAATATTAATAATTTTTTTTTTATGTCTCTTTATTAGTTGCTTGAGATAATGGGAGAGTTCAATCCAAAACAGCAAAGGGCATTCTGTCAGTTTGTTACTGGTGCACCTCGGCTTCCTCCAGGTGGCTTGGCTGTCTTGAACCCTAAGTTGACCATTGTCAGAAAGGTAAAAAAAACCCCCTCAACCACCCCTTGTTTTCAAAATTTTATCTAGGTGAATTACGAAATTGCCCCTCCTCAGTCACTAACCCTTTATTAATTACAACGCTCTTCAAAGTTCCAACAACACTGCATCAAATGCTGCGGGTGGAGTGTCGGAATCTGCAGATGATGATTTGCCAAGTGTCATGACATGTGCCAACTACCTCAAGCTTCCTCCCTATTCCACCAAGGTAAACAAACTTTTCATTTCTTTCTATCACAAAGAAATGTTTTTTTGATTGAAAAGTATTGTTTCCCCTCTTCTCAATAAGACTTTGATGCAAATATAGATAAAAATGTCTGGATTTTAGACAAATCTGATTAGAAGTAGTTTTGAATCAAATTGATAAAGAAGTCACAGAACCCTAAATTATCTGGATTTCTTTTACACTTGAGTTATGATGTTTTGTGGTCTAAGTCACCTTTATGTCATATTCTGTGTGATTTGGCCAGAATTGGAATTGGGATTGGAACTGGAATTCGATTCCATTCTAATACCACATCATGTTTGCAACACTGTCTCTTTATAAATAGTAAATACTCTAACTACCCTTTTAACCCTATATCTCACAAGTAAACATATCTCTTGCATTTCCATTTACTTTTCCTCTTCATATTGTTTACAAATTCCAATCTATTTCTTATCAACCAAATGTGTGAGAGAATCCAATTTCTTGAGATTCCAGATCCTTCAAATTCCAATTCCTTCGAATATGGTTCATTTATTTGTGTATTATATTGCACCATACTTTCATTTCTTTTTTTAAGACATTCTATTTTCAATTTTTTTCTTATCAAGGCATTGTATTTTGAAAACTTTACCCAATTATAACATTCTTATTGTTTGCATTTACACTTCTTTACACGTCCCAATTTCAATTTGTTTATTTAAAAATTGATCATTTTAGGTTTTAGATTTTATTGATAACAGGTGAGACATGTGATATAGAAAGAATCAGCTAATAAAAATTAGATATTCACCTCTTTTTCTATATTTTGTACGATAATAGCATACAAAATTTGTATATTTGGCAGAAACTTTGACCAGGACTTGTTTTCAATCTCTTGTGTGTGCAAATGACGTAACTACCTCTAGAAAGTTTTTTAAGAAAAATAAATTGGAAGCAAGCATACCAGATCAGCATCAGGATCTGAGGAAGGCATCATGATATTAACTTCAATTGCTTTAGTAGTTGTTATAGAAGTTTTGCCTTTTCTATTCAAAATTATAACTTAAAAACACCACCTGTTCCCTCTTTTCTAGCTTGTATTACTGTTGCTGGCTTCCAAATGAGGCCTTAATTGTCATAAACATTCTATTGTTAGATTTGGCCCTAATTTCTTTAATAGTCAACGATAGTGGGGTAGCATATTGAACTATTTTCTTAAGAAAGACATTATATCTTGTCCAATTTATATTTGAATTCAAGTTATGCATAATGTCAATATTGTTGGATTAATAAATACATTATACCTAAAGAATAAAGATTGTATGATGAAAGAAAGATTGTAAATTACCAAATATTGGTTTATCATTTGCTGAGTTAACCTACATTTTTTTCTGTAGTTTTATCTTGTTTCTGATATAGCCGTGAAAGAACTCATTGCAGTTGCCACCAACAGAGAAGGTAAGCTATAATATGCCAAAGTTGAATTACTTTTTAAGAAATAGCAACCTACTTTTAGTTATTTGTTTATTATATCAACATACAACATCAGATTCAAAAAGTGTTGTAGAGCTAACAAATGGTTCTTCAGGTATGCAATACTCTAGGCATAATTATAATATAAAACTATAAAAAATTTAATTTTTTGATATATATTTTTTATTTTGTTTTGCAGAGGATACTAAAGAGCAAATCTTGCAAAGGATATTTTTTGTTTTGTTTTGCAGAGGATACCCCTCACATTTTCCCAAATTACCCCTTCCTCTACAATGTTTTTTTGTTTCTGTGTATTTTGTGCATCAGGTAAAGTTGGTGGAAGAAAGGAATATGAAGTCACTTGATTCAAATCTTGCAGCATTAGTCTTAAAGAATTATGAAAGGCAAGATGCAACTTTACTTAGTTGAAATTTGATGTAGAGAGTAGATTAGATGCAAATTTAGATATTGTAAAAAATAGAATTGTATGACATTAAATTTTATGCAATGGATTGTATTTTTTGTATATGATATTTTATTTCTATTATGAGACATTAAATGCAAATTTAATTTAAAAATTAATAAATATATAAATATTTTTTTAGAACATTTAAAATTATGATACGCAAAAATGTGTGTCATCTTCATTTATGACATGACATTTCTTGACAGGGGCTTCCTTGATACGCATTGCGTGTCATAAACACGCGCGTCGTAAGGTTACGACACGCAAATGCGTGTCGTCTACCTTTATGACAGGGCCTTCCTTGATACGCAATGCGCGTCGTCTCTCTTGATGACAGGGCCTTCCTTGACACGCATTTGCGCGTCGTCTGAGCGTTTTACGACGCGCAATGAGCGTCGTAAAAGGCCTTTTTTCTAGTAGTACAAGAAATCAACATGTACATGATCCATCAAGTATCTGTTGACAAACAATAGAAAGATGTGTTAAAAGATTTCTTGTTTTTAATTTTCAATTAAGCATAAAAGTAACAATCAAGGAATTAAGATAAGAGAAAGAAACAATATGGATATTCTTTTCAACCAAAGAAACATATGAAACCTAGAAAGTCCATCATTAAAATCAGATCAAATCCCTTAGAGTATTGGGTATGGGCAACATGTTATAACACCATCTTGGTGCCACCTCACATGCCAGATCACCCATAATATTATAACACCAATTTAGGAAATCATTGAAATTTGAATACATGCACTAGTCGGCCATTGATACATTGTCAAAGCTTATAAAAGAACATAACCTTCTCATTGATGTAGTTAAGGCATAGGAGTTTATGTAATGGAAATTGAATGCCATGACTTGCTAGGTTTCAGTTACATAACATGAGGAATCACATTTAATCTCTAATCAATGGTATTTGAATTAGTCATACACAAGAAGGATAGTGATACCACATAAGTTTCCTAGGTCTTTGTGACATTTTTGTTGAAGCTGTAAACATAAATTATTAACGAAAACAGTGAAAATCATTGAAAGCCATGACTGAAGCTTTTTTCATACATAAAACTCCCCATAAATGGATTAAATGAGTGGTATAAAGTCATATTCTATCTAAATATGTTTCTGATTTAAAATATTTAGAACGTTTTAAAAAGAAGCAGACTCCAAAATCACATTTCTAAACCATCAATATACCTGTAGAATAATTCGGGTAAGATTCAAATTTGATTACCCTTTGGTGCTGATCCAATTTTCAATTATTATTATTTTTTGTCATTTGGGGTTGCTCTGTTTCTCTGTAACGCCCCATTCTTGGTATGTTGCTTCCGTGGCATTTATTTAGAAGTTTTCGAGAGGGACTCGGCGAGTCTATGGCCCGACTCGTCGAGTAGGGACGAGATTTCGAGCATGTGTTAGTCGGCGACTCGACGAGTCCATATTCGGGACTCGGCGAGTCTGCCTGCCAGGTAGAAACCCCAAATCCCCGGGTTTGCACCCTATTTAAACCACCTTATGAGCCCCAAACTCGTTCCCTTCACCCTCAGAGCATCATTTAGCAAACCCTAATCATTCCCTTGAGTAATTGAGCATTTCTTGTGTGAATCTTGAAGTTTTGAAGAGAATAAGGAGGCTAGATCCAAAGGAGAAGAAGAAGATCCAAGGTCTTGCACCCATTTCAGAGTTTATTGAGGTATCAGCCGATTCCCTTCTGTTTCTATGATTTATTTCTCTTTCACAAGCATATTTAGCCTCTTTTAGCCATTTCTTAGCTTGTTCTTAGTAGAGAGATCACATTAGATTGATTAGCCTTCGGATCTAGCCATGCTTCAGTTCCAAAATCGTAGATCTATCACCTTTATAGAGCCATTTTGCATAATAGCCCTAGATCTATTCTTCTAAGTGCCTTTTTAGCCTTTATATCCCTTTTCATGCGTATGTACACGTAAAGTTGGAAACTTTACGTGGTAAATCAGCCTTAGAAACTCAGATCTATAAATTGTATGCGGTGGTTTTGATCAGAATCGAGTTTTTAGGATCTGCATGCATGTGACTCGGCGAGTCGTTCTTCGGACTCGGCGAGTCAGGTCGCGAGTCCCCGCTCTTTACCCTTTGAGTGATTCCGAGTGGAGGCCAGTGAGCAATAGGATGGACTCAGTGAGTCGGAGGTTAGACTCAATAATGGAGGGACTCGACGAGTTGTTCATACAACTCGGCGAGTCCAAGACAATCTTTTTAGATCGAAGAACAACTCGTCGAGTTGTTCATATGACTCGACGAGTCGGATACAGATTGTCTGAGCTTTTGAATCAAGAGGGTACTCGTCGAGTCGATGCCATGCTCGACGAGTAGCCACGAGTAGGGTTGAGAAGTGAGACTAGGGACTCGGCGAGTTGGCGGCCCAACTCGGCGAGTCAGGTCAACTGTAGGTTGACTTTGACCGGGAGAGTTGACTTTGACCAGGGGTAAAAGAGTCATTTACCCAATGCAGTGATTATCATCTGATTGAGTGTGTCTATGGATTTGTAGCCGGGGAGATACAGGAGCTGCAGCAGTTAGCTTCCAGAGCCATACACATAGCAGCCAGTTCACGAGGTGAGTTTCCTTCCAATAGGAACGGGTCTAAGGCCACAACGCCGGCCCGTTCAGTCAGCAGTAGTTTCTGGACTTCGGTCCAATGTAGTAGTTAGTATGTTTGACGCCTCCGTGGCTCAGACAGGATTTATGTGTTTATGCTAGTTGATATGTTATGCTATGCTGTGTTCAGTTAGTGCGGACTTCGGTCCGATGCAGGGGACGGGGTCCCAGTCAGTTTCGGACTTCAGTCCAATGTAGGGGACGGGGTCCTAGTCAGTTTCGGACTTCGGTCCGATGTAGGGGACGGGGTCCCAGTCAGTTTTCGGACTTTGGTCCGATGTAGGGGACGGGGTCCCAGATAGTTAGTCCGGACTTCGGTCCGATGCAGGGAACGGGGTCCCAGTCAGTGGGCAAGGCCCAGTATGTGCTTTATATGTATTGTATGGTATGTGGTAGTTTGGGGGAGCTCACTAAGATTCGTGCTTACAGTTTCAGTTTTGGTTTCAGGTACTTCCGCAAGCAAAGGGAAGAGCTTGGGATGATGGCATCGCACACACCACAGCTTCAGTTTTTGTCCTGGGAGTTGATTCAGTTTCTTGATATGTTTTGGATACAGTTGTGATACAGTTCTTCTCACAGTATTTTATTATGGTTTTTGAAACACGCAACGTATGGTTTTATTATGCGATACTCAGTTTCATGGTTTTTTTTTTGTTATAATAAAAATTGAAATTTTTGGGTCGTATTTTTGGGTTGTTTCAAGTTGGTATCAGAGCCTTGGTTTGAGGGATTCGGGCGCACTCCCGAGTGTGTCTGAACTTAAACTAAGGAAGTGGTAAAAAGTTTTTAAAAACAGAAAAGGATTTTGAAAAGCACTTAGAAAGAAAAGAATTTTTAAACAAGATAAGGGTGTGGTGCATGCGATCAGCCGAGCTCAAGTAAGTACTCCCAAATTACCCATACAAGTTTTATTATGATTAATTGTTCCAGTTTCAGTAGAACAGCGTGCTAGTATAGGACTAAGGATCTAGGAGGATGCCTTATGTGCCTGCTATATGTGTTTCAGCTTTATGAGAATTGCATGCTAGTATTGAGTAGACAGCAGTAGGATAGCCTGTTTAGGTTATGCCTGGTAGCGCGAGCTTAGCATTGTATGCTAGTACAGTTCCTCGTTATGAGAGTAGATTTGCTTGAGTAGTTTCTGGTGTCCGAATGCTGCTTGCTTCGTGCTTTGTAGAACTCTTGGTGATGAGAGTTAGCCGTTAGGTGAATATGTCACGTCACATGTGATCAGGGTTGAATAATCTCAGAGTGTTGGATTTGGCCCTATTGCGCAGCTCTTGTTTGAGTCCAACCATTGTAGGGACGAGCCTTTTACTCGAAGGATTATCCGAGCCTCATCACATGTGATGGTATTCAGGTGATGGCTAATTAGCATTACAAGGAGGCCTTCAGCAGCTGAGGACTGGTTTGAGTGGAGTCAGAGATTTCCCTAGGGCAAGCCTATGATGAGAGTAGCAGAGATCAGTAGTAGTAGAAGTGACTTGGTGGAGTCAAGGCAGTTCTTGAGGAAAGTACGGATAGATGTGGAAGGTAGTATGGGCCCGTACTACTGAAAGCAGAGGATCCGTACTCGAATCAAGGAAGGCCGAGACAAGACCAGGAAGCTAGTAGTAGTATCAAAGATCCCTTGAGATATTTCAGTTTTCTGATGTTGTTATGATGTGTTTCAGAATGGTGGTTTTGCGTTCGAGGCCAGCAGCCGGCAGTGGAGGTGCCGGGGAGGGATCAGGATCAGGCTCGGGGGACGAGCGCATGGATGAGCAGACCAGAGAGTTTCTTTCTTCAGAGATTATTCGTATCATACTGGAGCAGACTCCTGTGATCTTCGGTTCGATCAAGGAAGGTATCCTAGAGTTGATGGATGAGAGGTTGGGCACCTTTCGTGCTGAGGTGGCGGCCATGATGGGGTCGCGCACACTTACGTTCAGGGAGTTCAGGGCATGTGGAGCTCCAGATTATCACGGGGCGCGGGACACCATAGCGAGTACTAGATGGTTGGCGGATGTGGCCAACGCGTTCCGCACGAGCAGGTGTCCCGAGGGGGACAAGGTTAGATTAGCGTCCTGTCTTCTGAAGGACAGGGCACGGGATTGGTGGGAAGAGGTCGGACATACCATTGGAGATGATGCAGCGTTAGATGCCATGACCTGGGCTAATTTCTCTACCAGGTTCAGGGCGGAGTTTGCACCGGTTATTGACGTGCAACAGTTAGCCAGAGAGTTTCAGGACCTCACCCAGACTACAGAGACCGTGGCGGAGATCACCGCCAAGTTCAGGGAGAGGGCTCTTCTTGTTCCTCAGTATGCAGCCGATGAGGAGATGAAGAAGG